CATTAGGAGGCTTGTTGTTGTTAGGTGTGTTTAGTTGGTTCTGACTCCTAGTAACTGTTTCTGAGCTGGTGGGTTTAACTGCTAACATTGTGATTCGCAGTCTGGTGCTTACCTTACAGTGCCACAGCAGGACTGACTTCAGAGCACTAGCTCTAAGGGAGGCTTCTCTCTCTCTGCTCTGGAGGGAAATCTTGTCTCAGCTTCTTCAGAGTTCTCACTAGTCCTTGGAGATCTCTAGGTAGCATTTATCTTGTTTCCGTTTTGCCTGCTCTTTTTATATCTCCAAGTGATTAAGTTCTAAGACACATGATGCACTTGAATTATGGTGTTGGCGTTCCACAGGTTAGAACTCCAATACATGGTTTGTGAGGGAACAATTCCACCCATCACCACTAGTGAGTGTAGCGTTAATAATCAGATCAGATTGTAGGCCTCTGGCCAACCCACTCTTCTCTACAGCGCTACCTGTGGGAGTGTCAGAGTGAAGTGGCTGAGTCCAAAAAGTGGGTCCCCATTTCATCTTCTGCAATGTCTTCCATTTTGCCCGCAGAAGGCATGGAGAGAGAAAGCCCCTTCTTTGCTTGGATCTTGCCTGGTTTTTACAACACTCAACAGGATGCCTCTGGAACAGGATACTTTGAGAAGGTCTAGGGAGCTTGGATCTTCTAAGTGTAAACAAGGAACTGACTCAGCAGGACCTGGTTATCTTCAGTGTCTGAGCAGTAGTGCATCAAAAGAATGAACGTCCAGGACCTCTGAGGAGGGAACTGGCAGGAAATGATGAGCCTCACACTGCAGGGATAAAGGCAACAAAGGGTCCCCGTGGGTCTCATCTCTCTGTCTGGATTTGAAGCAGCAGGAAGTAGAAGGGGTTGTTTAATCACAGCTCCAGAACAACCTTGAACTCTGGTTTTCTCCTTTTTTGGAAGAAGAACAAGGTGAAGGAAAGGTGAGGCAAGTTAAGATAAACACCCAAACTTTTGGCTGCCTGAACTGAATCTTTTAACTTGTCAGTGTTTTTTTTTTTTTTTCTTTTCTTTTCTCTTCCTTTTTTTAATGGAAACTATAATCACACAATACCCCACCCAATTGCTTGATATGGATTTCTAAAGCAAAGCCTAACATAGGCATAAAAAAAAAAAAAATCCCCTCTAAAATGTGCACTTTGTACTGTGTCTCTGTGTAGGTGTGTTTAAAATGTCATGAAGGGGGGGGGGGGATGCTTAACTCTAGTTCCCAGGAATTAATCACTTAGAAGACTGAAAAGGGAAATTAATTTGCTTTAACACTTATAAAGCTCTCCAAAGAAGTCGCCAAAATAGAACCAGCTGAATAATAGTATGGTTATCGTCCCATAACAACTTGAAGCATTTTTGTTTGTTTTTTTCCCTTTCCCTTTTGCGACATTTCCTACTGAAAGGCCTCCCCCTCCACCAGAGTTTAGCTTCAGGTCAGAAAAATTTTGGGTATAAAGGTGCAAAAGGAGTTTTTAACTTTTTTTTTTTTTTTGTCTTTTTGGTTGCAGTTTAATGATTTTTAATGAACTGGCAGATTCATGCCACCATAATCACCTACTAGTTAGAGAGTGTTCCCATCATTCTACACTGTCCTCTCCTCCAGAGCCCCACACCACCACTGCTGTATGTCCTGTTTGGATAAATGTGTCTTTTCTCGACATTTCACGGGGATAGAATCTGGCTTCATCCACTACCAAATGTGTTTGAGGTTTACGTTATAGCATACAGCCATACATCTTTCCTTTTCATTACTGAATAGTATTCCATTGTATAAGGAGCTCTGGTAGCATAGTGGTTACGAATCGGGCTGCGAACCTTAAGGTCAGCGGTTCGAAACTACCAGCCGCTCCGCAGGAGAAAGATGAGGCTTTCTAATCCCGTAAAGATTTACACCCTCAGAAACCCTGCACAGGGTCGCTATGGGTCGGAACCAACTCGACGGCACTTAACAACAACAACAACATTCCATTGTATGGCTAGGCCACACTTTAGTTATCCACTCATTTGGATTTTGGTTACTATGAACAATGTTGGTGTGAATACTCAGGTCTATGTTTTGGGGCATGTTTTAGATTGCCTGGGGAGGGTAGAACCCTCAACACAAAACTAGGAGATGTGCAAAGGAATACCAAGCGCTCTTATCATAGACAACATGGGTAGAAGCCTTTCAAGCAATTGCTCACTTAAAAACGTACCCCAGTCCTATGCTTAAGGAACTCTCGTAGTGTAGTTTTACAAGATGGGCTGCTAATCTCACGGTCAGCAGTTCGAAACTATCAGCAATTCTGCAGCAGAACGATGAGGCTTTCTGCTCCGATAAAGATTTACAATCTCAGAAACCTTATCAAGGGTGGCTATGAGTCTTAGGCGACTCCACAGCACAAAACCACCACCACCAGTGTTGTGAGTATGAAGTTCTGGTGTGGCACTGTAGCATAAGGATTGGACAGCTAATAGTCAGGGGTTCAAACTCACCTGCCACTCCTTAGAAAGCCTGTACAGGGTAGCTATGAATTGAACCAACTAGACAGCCCTTCCAATAACAATCCTATGAAGTATCAAAGGAATGGTCGGAAAAAACCCCCAACAACTGTTGTTTGGTAGATTCTGAACAGCAAGTGAAAGGCTAATTCAATTTAAGACCAGATCTGGGGACTTACCTCCACAATGGAAGGAATGCAAGTTTTCCTCAGCAATCAAGAGATATGCTAATGATCACAGTTCCTGGACATCTTTGTGTATGTGTAGTTAGATCCACGATGGCTTCAGTTTGCCTTTATGTCCACACGAGAAGGATGAGAAAATCCAGGCAACAGTTCGTAGCCAAATAAGAGCAAGTGACTGGATAACTGAGTCACAGACATCCTTTCTCTCACTCTCAATAACTTCTTGGAATCAGCAATGGAGTGGAGCCAGCGCCCCAGCACCATCACTGCGCCTGTTAAAGGGTGGGGACATTGGGCAGTGGCCTGAGACATACCCAAAGTAGAAGTTGCTGGTTTTGAGCAGACAAGTGAAAAGATAGGGACAATGATTTTAAGAAATGGAGCAAGACAGATCTATGGAGGGAGCTGGGGCCAGGGACTAAGCCCCGGAAGCAGAAGAATGTGGCTGACTCAGGAATCACACAGAGCACTTTCCCTAAAACACTCAGTATCCGAGGCCTCAGAGGCCTAGCGCGTCCCCTGTACCAGACGGTGAGGCTCCTTGAGGCCTGGAGGCCAGAGGCCTGCTACCTAGGAAGGACAGTGATGGGGAAAGGTGGGAGATGAGGAAGAGATCTGGGAATTAGGAACGTAGCGCCCCCGCTCTCCAACTGAAGGTCCAGCAGTTTAAAGGCCAGGGCCACAGGCAGTGTGCCGGCAACAGGCGTCGCCGGAAGATCGCGGGCCGCTGGGTGGGAGGGGGCGCAGCCGTGATCCCGCCTCCCACCCCTGCGCACGTTCCGCCGCACCACGTGCTACCAGGGGAGGCGCTGTGCGCCTGGGACCCCAGTGCAGGAGACAAGGGGCAAAGGACGGAGAGGGCCACCTAGCTCCATTTCTGCTCTCCAATTTTGCACCCAGACCCCTTCCGCCTTCCATCCCAGGCTTTTTTTTTTTTTTCTTTCTTTCCTTCGTGGACATCTTTTCTGTTAACTCCTCAACCCTCTCCTCCCCTTAAGCTCCTTCCCTGGGCTCTGCTCCAGCGCCCTCCCTCTCTTCCATTCGCTCCTTCCCCGTCTTCGGCCGACCGTCTTCCCCCTCCTTTCCCATCTCATCCTCGTCCCTCCTGGTGGCGCTGCCTTTTAACCCTTTAACCATTTTATTCGTCACCGTCCCTCTTGCCTTTCCTCTACTTCTCCCTACCCCGGAAACTTGTCCTAGACCAGGGTCCCTACGCAGGTTACAGTTGTTCACGTTCAGCCCTGGGACCCCGATACGTGCGGGTCTCCACACTGCAAGCTCTTTTCGCCCCACCCCTGGCATGATTACTAAGCCTTGGCCCCTCCAATTTTATCCCAGGCGGCCCTATGTGGGCACCCACCGGGCCCGGGTTTCCTCCCCGCAGGGGTCCTCGGTGGTGAAGTATCTCGGAGGATGATTCCGGCACTGCGTCCTCAGGCCCTCCCTTCAGCACTAGCACCTTCTCCACACCCTGGGGTCCTGGTGTTGGGTCTAAGGCGAGGGGCGGAGGCAACAAGTGATGCTGCCTAGGGCAGGCATCACCAAGGCGTCCCCGGGAAGTCACCCAGGCCGACCCTCCTCCGCACGCGAGGCTTTTGCAGCGGGGTGGGGAGCAAAAGCGGGGCGGGAGAGAAAGGAGACGTAGCTTTTCTCAAGTCTTAAGTCTCCCTCACCCTGGCTTAGCCTTAGCGCCACAAGTAGAGTTTGCAAGGGGTTGGGGGTGGGGTACACTCCGTCGACGTGGAGGGATTTTCTGAAGGTGGGGTGAAATAGAATAGGATGCGCTCCCAAATTCTCAATTTCCTCCACCCCTTGGATGATCTTTTTTCCCAACCCACCATTCCGGCCGGTAGGGCAAGGGCCCAGCCTGACCAGCTGGAGCGGATTTGGGGAGGAGGAAAAGAGGAGGGGGTCCCAGCATCTCCCCAGCCCCTCTCTGCCGCCCTCCCTTATTGGCTGTGCGACCCCAAGCCTAACTTCAGTCGCTCCAGACTCTGTCGGAGACCTTAGGGAGCGGGAGCTCAGAGATCCGGGGCGGGAGGGGCGGCACTGAATCCAGAGGTTGGCACCGCTGGGGCCCCAAGGGGAGGAGCTCGGACGAGGTCGGCCCCCGCAGCCTCCGCGCGGCCCTGCTCACCGCGTCTCGCAGCCTCAGCTCCCTC